CCCCTCCGGCATGTTCGGTTTTCCGCTTCAGGATGGAATGCAGACTGGACGACGAAGAGTTTCCAACCCGTGGACCAGTTGGAGTGCGATGGCTGGGTTGATCATCCCGTCATGGTAACGCGCCAACATGAAACCTATACCGCAGAGGGGATTTTTGAGCCTCTTAGTATTCCTCGATGGGTTTCCATGGAAACGGACGTGTGCTAGAAAATTGAACCGTTCCGGGTGTTTTTGCGGTGTACGCGTTGCTCCCACGCAGCTTTGCGCCCATACATACATTGATGGAGCGGAAATCCGCTAAACCTTGTCAGCCCCCCCCCGTTTCATGGGATTTCTACTCCCGGACACCCATACACCTCTATATATTGCTTGTCTTGGGGGCGACGTGGATTGATTTTTGGGGGGTCGTGCCTTTCCGGCAGGTGATTCAGCGGGACACCTTCGCGAATCTGTTTCACGACTCGGAAGATTTCGTCAACGCCTTCCTGGCGATGTCTATCCTCAGAAAACGCCCGGGGGATGTGCAGGTGCTGCTGACCGACCTTTATCCGCGAGGACCATTCTGGTGAGAGAAAGAGAGAGAGGGGCTGGAACTCTCTACTATTTTCGGTTTATATTTTGTTGCTTTTTGGTGTGGGGCTAATTGCGAGAAAGGAGGTTGGGCGGGGAATCTCTACGTCTAGTGTTTTTTGTGTTTTTTTGAGGGGGGGGGGCTCTGTTGTATGGGTCCTACCTTCGTCGTTAGTCTCTTCGTTGCAATGGTGTTGCCGTGTTGTGCAGTGCTCCGACAACAACCTACCAAATGCCCTGCTGGTTTTTCCAACTGCTTCCGGTGGTGACACCCCGCGGCTCAGAATTTCATACCTGCCGTATGAACGTGTGTACCACCCGGCGTGGGTGTTTTTCGCTGATTGCTTCCGCATCTCTCGCTCTGTGGCCGGGCATTCAAACCGATCTCTTTCCGACCTGGAATGCTGGCTACGCGGAACGCTCGCTGGCTACGCGGAACGCTCGCTGGCTACGCGGAACGCTTTCTGCACGGAACGCTTGCTACACTGAACCCTCGGAAACGCGGGACGGCGGCACAATACCCATCCCAAAACGCGCCGGAAACTTTCAATACGGGGCATGCCTCCAAACCCAAACATCGGGACATGAAAATAACGTATCAATGTTGCGGTGTGCCCTGCTGAAATACCGCGCTGGGTGGCGTACGTCGGCTCACACCAGGCCCATGTGGGACAAGGTGTTCGGAGTGGGACGCTCAACGCTGACGGCATGGGACGTAGGGCTGGAGTATGGCACAGGGAAGGTATGTAAGCGTGATTGTTTCGTTTTGTCTTGTTCTTATTTTCTTTCTCTGGCCGTTTCGGGGTACGTGCACAAACACAGTGTTTATGTGTACGTTTGGCGATGTTGGGGGTTGTCGCCGGCTATGCCGGCAGGCGTTGCGCTTGGAGTGGAGTTTGCGTGGGGCGTCGTTGCTTCGTTGGCCGCACTCTTTTGTGTTTCATCGAGCGCCGGGCTGGAGTACGTCACAAGAAGTGTGGGGTCTCTAGGGGTCATGGCTTGCCATCGATAACGGAGGTTTGACTGTCTTGTGTCTTTAGAGAAGACGTCAGACCTTGGATTGGTTGCATCTTACAAGGGGTTTTGTTTTTTCATTTTTGCCCTCCAGCAGATTGAGGGTCGTTTCCTGTTACGCCCTCCAGGCGTTTACTCGTTGCTTTGGCACCCGATTTCTGACTCCGCTCCACGTGCTGGCGACTGGTGGTACGGGACGTGGGGTTCCCATATTACGGCGCAACGTCTTGGGGTGTGTTTTGTGTGCTACGTAGGCGCGTAGTGTCATCTTGACAGCAGGGAATGAACCATCGAGCGCTCATTTTATGAAGCCGAAATATTTTCCCACCGTCATTGCTACCTGTCACCTCTCGAGAGCACATTTTCTGTGCTTGACTATCGGCACTGGCCTTTGCGTACCACTCCGTTCTACTTCAAACGTGCAACTTTGCCGTCCACTGCTGTCGGCGACGCTTATCATCACCCCCCCCCCCCCCCCCCCCCCCCCCCCCCCCCCCCCCCCCCCCCCCCCC